ATTTGGCGGATATCACGCCTGGTGGTCAACGATGATGACCACGCCTACCCGTAAGCAATTATTGAAAATGTGGGAGAGTCTTGCTTCGGCGTGAATGAGCCAGCGCTCGATTGCAGTTATACCACAGAAGCACAGACAACAGAATTGAAACAAAACTTGCGCCTTACGCCCTGTGATTGAGATTACTAGAGGTCCAAACCTTATCCCCACCTTCTATCATCAAGAGACGATCTCCGGCCACCGTAAGCGCGGGTCTGCAGACGGCGAGTAAGGGCAGCTCGCCGCCCGACCAGAACCAGACCCGAGCGTAAGGCACGTAGCGTTCCGCGCGTGCCTCAAAGAGCCAATAAACCACCACAGACGGGGCCCTATAGGGCTGATGTTCAGCCGGGGTTGCGGGGTAAGCGCAATGAAACACCGCGACCTCTGCCCCGAGCAGGAGAAGAAATGGGAGGAGGGGGTTTAATCAGTAAGAGTCTGACACTCCCTCCCGCCCGACCCTGGGCGGGAGAAGTCATATTATGATGTTCCCCTCACAAAAATACCCTACCATGCTTAATTATTTAAATCCTCAAACAAATCCCAAACCCCAAAAGTCAACGTACCTGAAACTCCTCTTGTGCTGCAGGTGTCCATAGATGGCGCTGATTGCTTACCATGAGGTGAGCGGTCAGCTTGTATGCTGCTTAATACCTTAAACCTTAAATTAAGACACCACTTGGGTAGGTACACAGTGTGAGAAGAGACCTTTGCTCAGCAGTGGGCACTTGTAGACTGATTATGTTTTTTTTTGTAATATGTTGGCAAACTAGCATACAGATATCCTGATGGTAAGCAATCAGCGCCGCCCATGGACACCCGCAACAGTAGACTTACAAGTGCGTTGCCGATCTTTTGAAGATTGGGGGACAAAGGATTGGCCGATAACCTAACTCACACGGCGAAACACAACGCTGTGGTTGTTTCACTCCGGTTTTCTGTGAGGCCGTGGTATCACTCTGGTCGAGCCGACCCTTTCTGGCCGAAGCATGGCTCTTGATGATTTTTGGATCGATCGAATCTAAATAGTTCGCCTGCTTAGTAACCTATTTGTTTAACGCTTGGACACACCCATCTTGTACCCTTTCGAAAACATAGAACCGGGAAAAGAGCTTTATTTATTAGCAGAAACACACAGCGTGCGTGACGCTACTAGCAAGTGGGTGGAATATTACCTTTAAAGAAATAGTAGGTACTATACCCTTTTTGTCGTAGTATGATGGTAAAATAAATGTACTAGGAGTTCAGGTTATACAGGTACCTAAATACTTAAGTAGTTCTTTAAACTTTCTTAAAAAAACAAACAACATGAAATGGCTAACAACAAAATCCACAGAGGCAAAGGTTGGTAAGGAAATGTTTGAAAATAACAGAATATAACGAGGTTGGTCACGCAAGGGATGTGCGCGTTGGGGTACGGCACTGACTTACACCGGCGTTTGGAGATACGATCAGGGAAATAGAGCCTTATAGACTATCCGCACAGCGTTATAAAATTTGTGCAGATATATTTTTGCATCGGATCAAAATCAATTAGGTACCTATATTATATGTATTATAATCTATATTCAAACTTTTGCATTTTGCGCAAGGTAAAAAAAACATCGAATGACATCTCCCGCTCGCTCGCGCATGACCAGAGGTATCAGACTCCTTCTGACTAAAAACCACACCGTTCGCGAACTCCTACTACCGTTTTTTCGGTCAGGGGAAAATCATCGATGTCCTCTCCCGCCCAGGGTAAGGCGAGACAGAGTGTCAGACTCTTACTGACTAAAAACCCCCCCATTCCTTCTTCTGTTTGGGGCTTCTGTTATTGCGCTTAACCCGCAACCGGCCACCACCTACTACCCTGCTGCTATTAAATTCGAATATTTTTCGAAGGGGAATAAATCAAGTACTTTACTTTTGCCACCCTAGGTGGGGTGGTGTGTTGTCAGACTGTTACTGATGAAAAACCTCCACCTTCCTCCGAGCTGGGGACGCATAACTATTTTTTAATCAGTAAGAGTCTGAAACTCCCCCTCGCCATACCCTGGGCGAGAGAATTCATTTGATGATTTCCTTGCACACAAAAGGGCCAAATACTATTATAGTCATTACTACCTATAATACATTAGCATTACATAGACTCTTTTTAATGTCGATGTCGTTCAATTCAAGCTAAACGGAAAAGCAACGCACGCGACCAAAAACAAAACCTAAACTAAAAACATCGTTAATACATAACAACAATGAAAACTTTTTGTAAATTCTATCACCTAATATTAAAAACATATTAAATGGAAACGCAATAGTGATTTACATAATACACAAGAAAACTACGTGAATCTAATTATGCGGATGACTCAGTAGACGACGTAAAAAGCCATGATTTGTGGTAAAGCTGCCATCTTTGTTGCGTGATCGCCGATGTATTTTCCCTCCAAAAAGTTATTAGCTCGTCTTCGATGCACGCTAGACACTGCCTGTCGCGTAGTCTAAGAGACAGATTTGTAATATTTTTGTAATGTAAAGATACGTAAGTTATACATATAATCAAATGTAAAAGCCTCTATTATTTTGTATGATTAATATTTGTTAAATATTTCTTGTTAGGTTGAGGAATAAACAATAATGACACACAGATTTGTAGCTTGTTATTTTTTTATTTTAATGATAAACATGGAAAGCTGTGCAAGTAAATATTAGGGTTATTTAACTTACCAAAGTTATTGGCAGTTTGGAAGTCTGGAAAACATACATTTATTAAGAGCAACGACTTACCTACTAAATTAACTGAGAAAAGCTCTACTTACTAGTTTCATGTCGCAATGGGATTCATATTCAGTTAAATCACTTGAATAGGTGGGTATTTTCAAGAAATGTAGTATGTCTCACGTTAGTTAGGTACTAGTTAAAAATGTGGTAAATATGGTAAGTTAAGGAGCAAGAAGTCACGAAAAGAGACCGCAAAATTAAGTAGTTTTATTATGAATAAAAATGTTATGTAAATCTCTTTTTAAACGTATTAATTAGACTATCCCTGAAGCTTCATGACAAAAATTGTACCTATTACAATTTTCCGCGCTAGCTCCTGGACTATGCATCCTGAAGAAAAACTTTTCCATCGATTTGAAACGGACATAGTCATTATTCCCGCGCGTGCAAGCGAGACAAAACACAGGAAGGAGCAAAAAGTTCTTATTCCAAAATCTCATTCCTTTTTCGTCAAGCCTATTGGAGGCAGCGCGCGCCCGCCATGCCTTCCATATTCGAAAATTTGAATTTATAGGTTTCTTATCGTGTCGGTTTACCAGTATTGGAAAATATCAGTTTAATACTTTCCCGTTCGCATAAATTTTGCATTGTTTTGAATATAAATTGCGATAGATTCGGATAGTTGGCGTGTTAGTGATAGTATGGGTTCGACAAGTTACGTCACAAAGCCGAAGTCGACGGGCTACCGAGTGAAGAGTGGTTCCAGTGCCGGTTCTGACAAAGAGATGAGCGCCAAGTTGAAGCGCACTAAAATTCGGCAAGTATAACCGACCTGTTAAAAACCTTTTCTGTGAATTGTAGTGCTGCGCTTTAGTTATGGGAGAAAGGAATAAAGAATTCGGGAGAATAGATTAATTTCTGGTAGGTACGCATTTTGATTTAAATCGAATACAATAAATATCTAAGTACCTAACTTATTTATATTGTAAAGCAAATCATAAAAAAATGAAAGTAATAAAATAATTCTTCACATACCTAATCATTAAAATTAGAATGTGGATTATAATATTTTAATTCAAAGCTAATATAAAAAAAAAAAAAAATATAAGTGAATTTGATGAAAACTAGATTTTATGTGCAAATGAAATAAAACGTTAATTTTTACCGGCTATTCAACCAAGCAGTTATAATTATGAAAAAATGCATTGAAATACCATTAATTATAATCGATATTTACGTTAATCGCAGATGTAGTCATGATTTAACGCAATTAATTGATAACGCCATTAATATTACCGTTTCGCATTAGGTGCTAGATTAAGTGACTGGTCGTTAAAAAGATTAAAACGAAAATTAATGCTATGCAGCGCTTACACCACGTCAGGAGCAGTGTGCATTTTTCTTCATATTTGTTTAAATTAACGCCGTTTTTATTGCCATCATAAGCGATGTCATGAATATTGATATAGATTAAAAAATCAATTGATAGATTAGCGAATTATATATTGTTTAGTCAATATCATTTAATTTTAGTACGCTTAACGCCATGTGCATTGCATGCAAGCGTAAGTTAGGCATCAGAAATTCAACGTCCAAAAAATAAAATCACTCCGCTCCATTGAGCAAAGGCCTCTTCTCACACGGTGAAGGTGTGGGCATTAAAGTACCACGCTTGCTTAATGCGGGTTGTCGATTACAAACTTGTAATTAGAAATTATAAGTCTATGTCTCCTTACGATGTTTTCACCGTATGTTAGTGGTATTTAAATAATCATAGAAAGTAAGTACCTACATATAGCTCGGAAAAAGTCACATTGGTACTTGTCAGGTTTCGAATTATCCGCGCCACCACGACATTGAACAAGAAAAAAACATGTCATAGAATTAGTATGCAACCTTATAGTTCCGACTATCCTACTAATACCAAAAACGGCTGGACCGATTTGATTGAAATTTGGTATGTAGATAGGACCCTGGATATGTGTTACATAGGCTTCTTTTTATGAACATACCAAATGGGCAGAGCCGCGTGCGGAAATAACTTTGAAATAAGTTGGCAAATTAAAATCGCGTGTCACCGTAAAATTAATTAAGTCTAATCCAACGAATTAATCTTGTCTATCTAATCTCCTCGATACTGGTGACAAATCGATTGCACGTACCTTGCACTCGTTGCGAAGCATTTGTTTATCACAACAACCGTTGCCATGGTAACCGCTTTGTTTAATCGATACCTGGTCAAATAATCCCGCACTCGAGCTCCCGGCGCAATGCGCAACACTAGTTTCAAATTCTATATTTGATTTTTACTTTTTCTTTTTATGTTTCGAATATTTTTAAATTTTAAAATGTTTTATTGCGGTGTTCGTTAAGTTTTTAATTATGTATTATACGAATTATTTGAATAGGCGGCCGAGTAAGATGAACGAGTATGGGTTGAAAAGGATTCCTGATTACACTGAGTTGGCTTACAAAGAGGCGGTGTCGAAGCTACGATACTTTTTGTCTGGGAATTACGCGCCAAGTGTAAGTAGCTTTTTTACTGTTTAGATTATTTTTTAATATATTAAAGTTATAGTTGAATACTTGAATTGTTGTCTTTTATTAAAAGAGGATCACATAGGTAACAAAGTAATAAAGATTTATGAATTAATTTAAAGAGTTTTTATATTTTTTACCACGTACTTAGTATTCGAAACTAACGGAAACTATTAATTATTTTCACCTGTGTCGTGGGTGCGTTTACTAACACAATAACTAGGAACAATAACTAGGTAGTTTTCTCAGTCAATAAGATATTAGCAAAAATACTATAAATTAATAATACTTTTTTTTGTAAATTCAAGATGTTATTTGACGTAAAAATATTATGACGTCACAACTTCCAAATTGCACACAAAATTAAAAAAAATGTTTTTATTATCTCGGAAAAATGACTAGTCGGAAACTACATAATTATATATTTTTTTAGCTTCCTTATTAATCAAATTCAATTCTTATTTCGAATTTTAGGTAGGTACTTCCGTTTTTTTATGTACTGACGTCACTTTTCTTTTTCGTCAAATAGAATACTTATTTCCCATTTGGTTGATAAATACGAAAATTACGTGTGTGGTAACATAAAGTAATGAGTAATTGTGATTATTTTTTAATATATTTTTGCATTGAACAACAACAACTTTCACAAAACAGGAATTATCTTTACTCTAGGTTTAAAACATTGAGTCAGATTTTGAATTTAGAATCTTATTCTTACCCCTATATTATATTGTAGTCTTTGTTCTCACCTTCAATTCGAAATACAAAAACTGGCTCAATAAGGCTTTTTTAGTTTTTTTTTTCTATTCATTACCTATAATCTCGGAACTTACATGAAAGGTTGCATTATCCGTTTCTCTCTATTCATATATTAAAATTTTAGTAAATGAGCTGACATCGGTGTAATTATAAGCAACCACTTAACGTCGGAAGTTATTGAATCGAAAAAAAATGTACTCTTGATGCGCTAAGGATCCTATTGTCGCTTAACTACACCTTTATTAAATTTATGAGCAATAAAAAAACTAAAAAACTTGAAGGCAAATTACTGCACGGTAGGCGCTGTGGCTGCGCAAACAGCTGCCGCTAAACGCGTCGCGGGTTAGATCCTTACGAGACAACTGTTTGTGTGAGACCCACAAATAGGGATGACGACTAAAAAATAATAATTAGTCCATCTTTTCAAACGCTAGAAAATAGTAGATACGTATTTTTTCTTTTGCTTCTAAAACTTAAAATAATAAAGTTACAGAGCGGCGGAAGTTAGCGCTACATCCTTATTTCTTATATTTTTTTCGAAAGAGTGACGTCACGACGGGCTGGTCCTGCTCCACAGGATAATATACCTACACGAATATAAATAATGTTCCAGTGGATCTTTGCTTGAACGGAAGTTCTTAGATTTTGTAAATTTGTAACCATGCTATTTTTATTGTTAAACTTGATAAATTTGTAAATGTGAGTGCCCTGTAACCTATTAAAATTAGTTAGACTAGCAGAATGTCGGTCCTTATGTCAGCTTGGAGTTGTCATGCTCACTCAAAGGTCACATTGGCGGTGGCACGGTCACTGGATCGCTCGATTCCCTATATTATGGTTGAGCTGGGCGATGCTGGTGTACGTGTCATGCTCGTGAACGGGCGCCGTCAATTGGGACTGGTCAGCTCCGGACTGTCTATTGTCCTTAAGGTTATTTTCTTTTTATGTTTCTCTGTATACGCGTGTTACACTGTTCTCACATATTCAAACCAACTAAATAATGTATCAAAGAATGTGATACTGATTTTAAAAGAGTAACCATGGAGTTTCTTGCTCGTTCTTCTCCGTCGGAATCTACCTACACTTAACGAACGAGCGAATAGCTTCACTAAGAGGACTGACCGACAGACTGATACTTTGTATTTTTAAAGTTGTGTTGACGTTCAAAAGTGCCTGTATGGGTCTAATTGAAATAAATGATTTTGACTTTGACTTTGACGAGCCCTTGCTCCTGAATTTGAATGTGCTGTATCTTTGTCAATATTATTCGTATGGACAAATAAAACAATACGTATCGAGTATTTTTCTATAATCTAACCGACGGACTAATTAGAATCTCGTTGTTACAACTCAAGAGACATCCCTATGGTTTTGGGTGTGATGTGTACATAAAACTTGTACATTTTACTACTGTGTATCCTGTGTCCTGGGTCTGTAAGTGCAACCAAGAAAAAAACAAAAATAAATGTTAACACGGGTGATTAAAGTTCTAAATCGAATAACTTAGGTGCGCAGTTACGGAGGCTCAGCTTCGGTGAAGAATCTGGACGAGTCCGACGGCGACTTGGACAAGAAATACACGAGTTCCTACACCCTCGCCGAGTACAAGCCGCGGCCACGCCTCACCGCTAAATACGCCACTTTGTACGCCGATAGCCTCAACAATTACTCGTCGCCTCATGCTAATACTACTTGTAAGTTTATATTTAGTCATTTATATTTTATCATCACAATCATCATCGTCATTATCAAAAGTCCCCTAGAATCTACAGCTGTATCGGTTTCCGTTTATAGCATTTGCAGATTGCAGTTTAAAAGTTATTAATTTATAAGAGAATTCTGCTTTATGTTGTATAATTAATTTGTAGTACTTAAATGGCGGTACGCCCCAATGCGTCCATTTGTTGAGAATTGGAAGTTGGGAAATTGAAATTGGGAATTTAAAATGCGGAATAAGGAATTGTGAAGTAAATAATTTAGAATTAGGAATCGGGACCGGGAATTCAACATTGGGAATTGAGCATTGGAAAATATACTAACGGCATTTTTAAAACCAATTTCTAACTAAGACCGGTAATTAATTTCCGCTGCTAGTTTATAAGTCTAAATTCCAAGCATCCTTCTACAGCCGTACCCCCCACTACTGCATCCGCCGGTGACGTCACAGGTGGCACCAACCCTGACGTCATAAACTTCATACAGAAGCAGGAGGAGTATATAGAACAGCTCGAAAGAGAGAGCCAGTACTGCAGGGTAAGTGGATCTTTTTTTTGTGAGGGGAAAAATCATCCAATCACTATTTCCGCCCAGGGTCGGATGGGGTGTCAGGCTATTACTGACTAAAAACCCTCCCGAGGCCGCGGTGCCTCATTGCGCTTGCCTCGCGACCCCGGCTGAACATCAGCCCTAAAGGGCCTCGTCTGTGGTGGTCTATTAGCTTTTTTTGTTGTTTTTGTGCACGCAATTCCAAATAAGTATGTACTTAGTATTTTTTTTATTCTAAAGAAGAAGTGCCTTCATACTCTCTCCTAATAAATTGTTGCATTATAAAAAATCAATAACTGATGTGGCCTAGAAGTTCCAAAAATGATTCTATGTATTCGACAGTCGACCTGCTGCAGCGGAAGACCATAGTAGTGAGTGACTCGTCTGCCACTGCACCAAGAGTACCTTTTTTTGTAAGGGGAAAATCACCAATTGTGTTCTCTCACCCAGTGCGAAGCGAGAGGAATTGTCAAAAACCGCCCCGTTCCTTCTTCTGCTTTAGACCCTGACTGCGGTACCTACTTGTGCCAGCCCCACAACCTACGTAGTTGTTTATATTTGCATGGCATACATATCTACACTCAGAATATGGCGCAAATTTGCTCAAACTAGATTTCGACGATAGTGCGAAAAAAAATATTTTTTGTAGTACCTAGTCTTATCTATCTGTCTTTATTGTCCAGGATGAGCTGAACAACCTGTTAGGTAAGGTGAAAGAGGTGATCTCAGAGAACGAGCATCTACACGAAGCACAGAAGAACAAGCTCATCTCTCGGATGTTCCATTCTTATAATGGATCTGAAAGTGACGACCTGGACGAATTGGGTGACAGCACGGGACTGGAGAGTGATAATAAGGTAAGGGAAGTTTGGTGTTAAACAATCTCTCTGGAGAACGCTCATCTGTCGAATTTTCCATTAATAGAATATGTAATAACCGGGACAATTCAGGAAAATTCGCTGCTAGACTATATGACTATGATGCCCGGTTTCCGAAAGCCTGATCAATGTTAAAATCAACTAACTAGGTGTCAAATCTCTTGTCAAGTCATCTGATTGGTTGTTGATAATTCAGTCAACCAATCAGATGACTTGACAAGAGAATAAATTGATTTTAACATTGATCGGCCTTTCGGAAACCCGGTGTATAAGTCTCCGCCATATCAGAGTATTTGTCAAAACACGTTTGTCCCGTGTTTTGTAACCGTGTTTTGTCAAAGGCTTTGGTTTGTCAGAAAACACGAGGTAGTACCTAGTGTTCTAGTGTAGTAGGTACCACTAGGTACGGCCGAATTAGAATTCAAAATTTCTAAAACTTTTTAACATTTTGACAAAAAATCCATACAATATCAGAAGTCAATCTTTGGATCAAGATTGGTATTTGAATTCCAAATATTTGGATTGGGAACGGTTATTTAAATTTTAATAGACTGTTCGTAGGCTATTAAATGATTTTTTTGTTGGTTCCTTGTCCATAGACTACTCCACTGAAAGCTCGGAGGTCTGCAAAGGCGCGTTCCACCAGATTGGAAGGACCCAATATTGTCTTCGAGTCTCGCATCGCCGAACTGGAAGCACAACTTACACAAGCTAAAATCGATCTTAAGAAAGTTCAGGTAAGATTTTTTGCGAAGAGGATGATGGAAGATGTGGAGTAGGATTAAAATATACGATCAGAAAAATAGATGAAGAGAATTTTTCAATTGCGTTTTAAGAACTGACAACAATTTAAAGCGAATTTCATATTATTTCATAAATGACTGACAACCACAACGTCGTTTTTCATAAAAGTTTCTGCCTCGCACAGTGAAACTGTAGATTAAACTATCATATATATCAGTAGTATTCCCGAACTGATACAACCTTTAAACATTCAAGAAAAGTACGCACTCCTTCTAAAAAGGTCGATAGTAAAGTTGAGACTGGTGTTCCGGGTCTGCGCTGACTTATAGACAAGTCAGCGCTGATCCCTTACCATCAGTGTATCAGACTGCTCGGTTGACCCCATCATCCTCAGTCTATACTAAAAGAAGGAAATATAAAAGTGCAAAGTCAAATCAAAATTTGACTTTCCAAGAAGTCTTTTTTATTTCGTAATGGGCAGGCGATGACCACTATCTCGCCTGGTGGTAGGTAAGCGATGATGCGACCCACGATGGAGCATGCCTACCCATAAGCAATTTTTTCACTCGGGCCTTAAAGACACCCTGGTCTCCTTCGGGGAACACAGACTCCGGCAAAGAATTCCACTCCTTAGCGGTTCTGAATATACAGCTACTATAAAGCTATTTTACATCATGCTGTCATTTTTTTTTTGTGAGGGGAAAATCATCAAATGACTTCTCCCGCCCAGGGTCAGGCGGGAGGGAGTGTCAGACTCTTACTGACTAAAAACCCCCCGTTCCTACTCCTGCTCTAGGCCGAGGTCGCGGTGCCTCATTGCGCTTACCCCGCAACCCCGGCTGATCATGCTGTCATGCCACAGATAATAAATAACTTTGTTCTGTCATAGTCAGGAGGTCTCTAAGTTAACCCTTTCATTACCACTACGATTTTCACAATGATATCTCGGATGCCGCCAAATTCTCGTACATTTTACGTTGAACTCGCCGGGCGAGTCCACGGGCGCTAGAATAAAATTTATGTAGACTCTCTGGGTGAGTCGGTGGCACTGAATGTGTTAAACGAATTGTGGCTTTAGAACTATATGTGCTACAAATCGTTTTGTATTTGTTTTAATAGGAAGAAAACAACGAGAACAAACGCAAGTTAGCCTCTGGGCTCGTTGACTCAACTTGCCTCGATGGCTTCAAGCGCCAGATTGATAACCTCCAGAGGTAAGCGTCCTACTTATGCTTATTTCTTTGTTTTTAAACAGATTCTCTAGTATTTTTTCTCCATCTTGTGAGTCATATTAATATACAGATCATTATTTGGTCACACTCACCCATATTACAGCAATTATTTTGTGAATTCTAAAAAGAATTACCTATCTCATCATCAAACATTAGACCATATTGACTGCACGATTGGCGTGGTGGCTGGGCAACTGACTGCCGCGTTACCTGTCGCGGCGTCGATACCCACACGGAACAAGTCTTTGTATGACCCCTAAATTGTTGTTTCGGGTCTGGGTGTGATGTGTATGAGGAATTGTATTTATGTTTTTAAAGGCACTCACAACACAGAAGAAAATGCTAATGTTGGGCTACGTTTTATATAAAATAAAATATCGACTGTTTCCTTAAAACTTATATTTATTACTTTCGTGTGAGCGTCGTCTTCACTTTATTCCGCATTGTTTAAAAAACTATATTTTCCTTTAATATTTAATGACAGACTAAGTAGATTTCTAGTCTCCATCCATATCACACACATACTTATATTTCAACAGGGACAAGTCTTCGCTGGAATCCCAGATCTCGAAGCTCAAGTTAAGCTTGGAGCAGCGGGACGATGACGGCCGGTACAAGCGAGGGTCGGATGCGGTGGAACATCAACTCAGAGAGGAACGCAATAACTTGGAGTCTGAGTTGAGGCGGCTTAAGGTATGAGGATGAGGCAAAGATGGGATATAAACTATGTAATATAAACTTCATATTAAAAAGCATCGACAGCAATTTGGATTATTGTTTAAAACAAAAATTTTCGCAGACAAGTATGTAATGCATTCAGTCCACGATGGCTGCCACAATTCGAGGTTCAAACTGCAAAAAAGTTCCTATACAAGTGGATAAGTTTTAAATCTCAATTATTTGGACCAACTTTAAAAGAATAAATATTTCTGGGATCGTAATCAAACATTTCTATGATATGAATAGTTTTTGCATAACTACTATTATTAACACGTGCGCAGCGGATCAATTTTTCGTAGACTGTCAGCTAGTGAGTATGAGGCTTTTTGAGACAAAGTTAACGAACCTTGCAGTGCGTAACCTTCTCGGTCCTTTTAAGCCTAACGAACTCTGATTGCATGAAACTTTACAGTGTCATTGAGGCCTTTTCAACCTCATTCTATTTTAACTTCGTTTTTAAACTAAGCTTTGTAAGAGGAGTTATCTATACTAATATTATAAAGCTATAGAGTTTCTTTGTTTGCTTGAACGTGCCAATCTCCGGAACGACTATTTAAAAATTGCACAGTTTTTTTTGTGTTTGTTAGTCCATTTGTTAGACTGCACGGTTGGTGTGGTGGCTGGGCAACTGGCTGCCGTGCAACGTGTCGCGGGTTCAATTCCCGCACGAAACAACTCTTTGTGTGACCCACAAATTGTTGTTCCGGGTCTGGGTGTCATGTGCATGTGAAATTGTATGTTTGTAACCGCACCCACGATACAGGAGAAAACCCTAATGTGGGGCAATGTTATATTTAAAAAAAATATCAAGGGCTTATTAGCTATAAAATATCACGCTACGATCTATAGGTACCAAACCAAGCAGCGGGTGAATCTGCGTGTGCTAGAGCAAGTGATTATATAAATGGATGATTGGTCGTACGAATGAATGGTCTCGTCTCGGCAGGACGAGCTGTCGAAGGAGCGCAGCAAGGTCCGCGAGCTGGCGGGGGAGGGCGCGCGGCGCGTGCTGGCCGAGCGCAGCGCCGCCGAGCAGCGGTACAACGCGCACTTCGACGACCTGCAGCACGACCTCGCCGCGCAGTACGACAACGTCGCCAAGCTACAGGTACACTTAAGCTCATCATACATTAACAGCCCACCACATCATTCATTCTATCGGTAATTCTGTAAGTATTTCATTAATTTGTTCATTCAACCATGTTTCTGGTTTTCATTCATTTATTCATTCGTTAATTCGTACAATTATCTTTCTGGTTACCATTCATTCATTCATGCGTTGATTCATTCAGCCACCCTTCTGATTTTCATGCATTTACTCCATCGATCACTAATAAAGAACTTATTAGTGATCGATGATTTACTCAAGATTTTTTTCTGTTTTTCATTCATTCATTCATAACCTCACAGAATGGTTTTTGGCGGGTTAATCATCAAAAGACTTCATTCGCCCAGGCTCTCGGTGACTTTTATCAACTCGTCTGTCCACTTTGAGGCTTTTTATAAGGTGAAATACTGGCGTGAAATAACCCACAGTGTTTTGTTTCGCCGTGTGAGTGAGGTTACCGGAGGCCCAATCCCGTCCCTTCCCCTATCCCTTCCCGATCCTTACATCCGCAACCCCTATCCCCAAAAGGTCGGCAACGCACTCGTAACTCCTTTGGTGTTGCGGGTGTCCATGGGCGGCGCTGATTGCTTACCATCAGGTAATCCGTCTGCTCGTTTGCCGACTTATACCATAAAAAAAGGTGGAATTATCGAGAATGAGTGTCAGACTCTTAATGACTAAGAACTTCCTCGTTCCTTCTGCTGCTCTAAGACGAGGCTGCGGTACATCCTTGCTCTTGCCCCACAACTTACCTTAGTCTAATTTTAGGGGGGTGACAATTTTATTGTTTTTATTGTGACTAGTAATGACATGCTTAACAAAATCGCTGCATACTTACAAAAAAAGTTGAATTTTTGGTATACACAGTGTGGTTATCTGTCGAATGTCCCTAATCTGTATCATGCAGAAGCGATCACGGGATTAGGTTTTAATTTCAAGAATATGTTTTGTTTGCCTTTAATTCTTTTACATACACTTCACCCTTAAGAATAATCCAAGAAAAACAATTCAATGATTTGAACTTCTATAAGAAGCAAGTTAAAGTATTTCATATTCAAATCATAAAAACCAATTAATCCCTTTACCTTTTATACAGTTGGATTTGGAGCGCCAACGTCGCGAAGAGAACGAGCTGAAGCGAGAGCTGTCCATGAAGAACTCGGCCATCGATGAGCTTAAGATGGAGCTGAAGAACAAAATATGTAAATATTTAAACAAATAGACAATTAGGGCTTAGATCACCATTTCTGGATAGACGCTATGTACTTACCAGATAAAGATATAACGAGCTATATGCCACATACATTTATTGAGAACTTTTATTTAAAAGGAGAAAGAAACGTTGAACGCCATGTGGGATTACATATGGGTCATGCTAACGTAAATCGCTGTCTTAATGACCATAATACAATCACTAAATCATTACATACTTGAAAGCTAGAAACACGAGAGAAATTTGTCAATATTATATTCAGAAGACGAGATTTACACACAAAACAATTATATGTACCTACTTAATACATATTAAAACTAGATGTTAGTATGAGAGTACTCAGTGTTTTTCATAAAAAAATATATAATTAAAAATATAGAAAAACTACCAATACTTTTCGTATATAATAATAAGAGCAAATAGCTTCACTATTGCCCTGTTCCTATATTTAACGAATCGTCATTCTATACGCATTACGATCAAATAACATTACGAATAGTTATCTTGACCGTCTACTGACGGTTAATATATTTATAGGAACACCACAGACACCATAGATCTCCATACAATTCGCTTACCGATATCCGTTAGTTGCAAACCGTAAGTAAGTTGCACGACGAGACGTTTATTATAGGAACGGTTTTAGCTTACGAGTCGTATATAAAACTACTATTCGTAATTAAAACGGATCGTTTCTCAATTATAGGAACCGGGCCTAAGAGGACTGACCGACAGACGCTGACACTTTATATCTTAAAAATCTTGTTTGACGTTCAAGTGCCTGTAGGGGTCTAATTGAAACTGACTTGTAATGACGCAATACTACTATTTGTTTTACCAGCATCTCTTCAAGCTGATCTGGCTCAAGCTCATGCTGAGAAGGCTTCTCTGGAAGAAGAACTGGCGAGTGCTCGCCTGGCGATCGAAAGACAACAACGTCAAGCTAAACATGAGACCAATCGACTCAACTCTGAAGTAAGGCCCTTTAACCTTTAAAATGCTAAAGGCAACCACTTTAAGCCAACTTTTGTACCAAACAGATTACTTCATCATCATCATCATCATCATCAGCCTATAAGTGCCCACTGCTGAGCAAAGGCCTCTTCTAACACTGAGAAGGTTTGAGCATTAATCACCACGCTTTTACAAGGCAGATTGGCCATTTCACACTTATAATTAGAAAAAAATATAAGACCAGGTTTCCTTTGTCAGTCGTGTCTCAATAACCATAAAAAGTACATATACCACGGGAAAAGGTCACATTGGCATTTGCCAGGCTCGAACCCTCATGAATGAGAAGCAGGCGCCTTTGCGCCGGCAACCACGTTATCAATGTGATGTTAGTTAAAGGTATGTTACTGTAATTTGAAAAATGAATTAGGTAGAGAAACACTTTAAGAGAAATCGGACCCAAGTGTTCTCGGTAATGTAATAATAAAGTTCATTTTATCATTAAAAAATTCGCTTCTTTGTCTACTAGATCCAGTCGCTACGTCAACGCCTGGATAGAGCTGATGCCGACTTGGTGCATTCCCGTCGCGAGAACCTGCGTCTGTCTGAACAAATTTCTAACCTGGAAAAAGAGGTAATTTTAATTTTATCAGAAACTCGACGTATATTGATGAAATAGTTAATAAAATACCCTTCAAAACCTAAAAATGTATATTACTAGCTTTCGCCCGCGACTTCTTTAGCGTGGAACAGTGACTTCCTGCAACATTTTTGGTTTTACCCTCATAGTTCCCGATTTTCCTGATTGAAACCGACCTATATCCTTTCTCGAGTTCCAAACTATTTCTGTACCCACACAAATCAATTCAGTAGTTAAGGCGTGAAGAAAAGACAGACAGACAGAGTAACTTTCACATTTATAAGTAATATAAGTTAGGATAAACATTTCAAGCTGAGAAAATTTTGCATAAATTATTTAATTCGCAGCAAACAATGAAGAACTTGACACCGATATCGCCGGAGAAGAACAAGAAGGAGAAGGAACTGTCGACGATGCTGGAGACGATGGAGAACAAACACGGTACGTGCACACTACACACTACGTAGCTCCTCTAAATGTTGGGTCCACTACTCTCAGTCTTTGGGAAATAGCCTCATTCAATGGGTAAACTATTGATGTTTTGAAAGATATCTTTACACTCAAATAATCTGGAACAATACCTTCAAAACATTCATACTTTACCCTTTCATCTTCTGCGCTTGCATGTACGTCTATAGTGCTATGAAAGGGCTTGTATTCTTTCATAACGTTCAATAGTTTATTCATCAGATTGTTTACAAAGACCTTCCTATAGTAGTGTCTACAGTTTAGAGTTAAAGCTAGAACATTTGGTTCCGCAGCTAAAACGGTGGCTGGGTTGGAGTCCATGATACAATCACAAAACAGTCTGATGGAGAAACTCACCGGCGAATGTCGTTTGCTCACAGACAAGCTCGACGACGCAAATCGTAGGCACAAGTACGAACAATTTACAAATTAATAGCATGATTACTATTGTCACTTTCCTTTGTTAATCTCACTTAACATTGCTCGCTAAACTATCGTTGCCCATTTAAAACTATTGTCTTAACGTCGTGCTGTGTTTTTATTGGTGGCAGGCAGTGCGCAGTGTCGCGGCCGTTCAGACGAACCAATCAGAACACAGCGCGACCGATCGAGCTCGCGAGACCGAGAGACTCGCCGTTCCAAGCGCCGCTCCGCAAAAGAGTCCGTTTCGTCGAATAACTACGCGCCAATTGTCGTTGGCCCGTTAACGACCAATCAGGATCTCACAAACATCAAAGGAGAGAAGATATACAACTTGCCACTTATGATACAACAGCCCTTTTTACGGGAGAAAAAGGAGCCGATTAAAGTTGACATAAGCGTGAAGTTGGTTCCAAAGCCTAGAAAGAAAGAGAAGAAGAGGAGAGGAGCACACGTTGAAGAAATTGTAGTGCAGCAAGCTGATGATAATAGAGGCATAAAGAATAGCTTTAGCATGGAAGTCTCTGATGGGGATATACAAGTTCTAAACGAGACCGTAGAGATCATTGAAGATAACGCTAAAGCTTCTGAAGAAGTAGATGGGAAGAACAGTCATAGCGTAGAAGAAAATGCCCAAGTACAAGAACATAACGACATAAAGGCAGAGGAAACAATACCGACCGAGGTTAATAATGTTGAGGTGGCAGAAATTCTACAAGATACAGATAATGAACCACAGGAAAATAAAGAAAATCAAGATGAGATAACAGAGAATGTAAACACAGAAAGTGAACTGGAGAAAGAGTCAGATGCTATACAAGAAAAAGATGAACAGAAAGATGAGGATGCTGCCTAAAATGTTGTTGATGGGCATTTTCAGAATGACTGAGTTAAGGAATTGATAGAGCAAGCAATGCGAATGACGTATACCGAGTAGTTTGAGCAGTAGTTAGATAAGATAGATATAGGAACACACTGGTAGCTTAGCTATTGTATTTAGAAGTAGTTACTGTGGCTAGAAGAAATTTTAAAGTTATAAAAATAATGTGGAGGAACTTTTGGATGAGTGATATATTGGAAATAATGTTAAAATAAATTTTGAGTATCGCACTGTAACTATTAAAATTGTTATATTAGTTTCTGACAAAGATCGTTTTTTTTTAAATTGTCGATCAAGAGGACATTACTGGAATAATTATTGTTGAGTGTTAATTTGTTGTAATATTTTATTAAATATTCGTTTCTGTGATCAACTACCAGTGTTTAGATAATTGTATTGTCTTTATATTGTAAACGTTCGTGCAATGTAGTGTGATATTTGTTAGCTTGTTGTAATATTGTTTTAATAGCTTTCTATTTAATTATATCAATGTTTATCTCTCGGTGTTGTGAGACAGTACAAAATTCAATTAATTTTTATGGGTAACGATAGTTTAAGTGTGTGCAATAAATTGTTGTTTAAAATCATTTATTTAGATAGTTTTTATATCAAAAGTAGATTCAAAATCACTATCATCATTAGAAATTACTGTTTTGTTGTTAATTATTTAGTCTATAACTTAAAATTTAGCATAGAATGATTTGATTTCTTTATTAATTTCACTTACCTCAAACATAATACAATTATTAGCTCAACATATTCACCCACATATTTCCATTTCAGAGCAGAAAGAACACAATTGCTTTGCAGGAACGTTGAATTAATGAGAAAACTTAGAAATTTATGGACTTCTCATAAAAAATATTGCACCACCATTACACCTTTGAGAAGTTACACTCCACTCAGTGGGTATCCACATAGTCGATCGTCTTATGACTTAGATCGCACGTATTACACCTCGACGCCTAACTATAGACCTAGATTTAGAAGGGCTGACAGTCTAAGTGAATCATCAAGGGATGACGTAGCTCGTCTAACAAGGAACTTAAGTGATCTATCAATTGATAAGATTGATGATTCTGATGATGATCCTGAGAAGGTAAGTGACGATAATAGATAGGAAACCGATGATGTTGTAGATAGAAAAAAGCATGTGCATGGTGATGTTGTAGTTTTAGTTTTTATGCTTAATAGAACAGTTGTTGAAAATAGAATTTAGGTTAAATGATAGTTTTATTCAATAATTCAAACATTGGACCTCACTTACGGAGACATCGCGCGACAAATCGCGTGTACGCAAAAGAGGCCTTAGAATTCCTCCTCTATATGACATACATAACTTCTTTGGCAAACAACGCTAAATAATTGTATTTTACTAGCTAGATCGGGTTCGATTCCTGCATCTAATGTAAACTCATATCTAGATATTTATGTTTAACCCTCCAGTTTTTTAATTATAATCATTATAAAAAATATCTGCTTTTAACCTACCTTCAGTTTTATCATCACCCAGAATAAGGTCAGCTCTTTAGTAATGTAATAAAGTTTGAAATTCGTTGGTAAAGTATCTTTAAAATCTTTCTTGTATTTGTGTCTACTTCGCATGGTGTTTGCTACATGGCTCACTTTGTTTGTTTGTGTGTGTTCACGTGTGGCGTGCAGGCAAGAACTGGCCACTCTGCAGCGTCAAGTAAACGGCCTCTCACGTTCCATGCAGTCCCCACGCAACACGCCTAGCAATTTTCAAGGTACGTACGTAGCAAATATTATAGATGATAATAAAACGTGTTAAAAGTTTGTTGTGTTTTGTACGATGTGGTATACCTATGTGAAACCTTTTTTTCATTTGTTGTAATGTCCTGATTTAGATGTTAATTGAACTCTTACTTACATATATGTATTTATTTTTCAAATCAAATTCCAAAGAGGTAATTCGTATGTTACGACTCATAAATGTGGGAGTTTGAACCAAATTCGTATGAAATATTGACGATAATATATACATACATACCCTTCCTTACAGCACATCCCCCGCACCAGACCACAGCCGACAGAAATGTACCACATGCCCCGTCCGACAGCGGACGAGACTATCCCGGAACTGAGTCCACCGGACACACCACACACGGACCGAACGCACGAGTCTCAACAGTCGATAGAGACGATCCCTACCAAACTGCAGGAATAACTAAAACCTATCCAGAACAGGAACATCACGACCAAGAAATAGAAGAAAGAAATGTAGTTGAAGACATTAAACCTACAGAAACAGTTTATCAAAAACCTGAACATTTTGAAGAGGAAGAAATGTCTAAAGTGCAGACAGAAACAAAAGAACAAATAAAAGAAGAACCAGAGAAACCGATGGAAGTAGAACACACGGAAGCATATGAAGCGCCACAATATGAATATGAGCAGAATTACGAACAAACACCGGCCTCGGCTGATGCTCAATTCGATAATCAGTTTGAGAATTATGAGCAACAACCTTATGTAGACCAACAATATGAAAACTACGAACAATACCCTCAGGAAGCTGTTGATCCTAACGCGCAGTATCATCAAGAATATGAAAACTACCCAACAGATGGCAATTACACGGATCAAAATTATGACACGACTCAATACACTGAGGGAGTTACAGAAGCTGCACACGATGAAAGCAAAAATGTACAGGACCAAAGTTATGATGCTCAATACGCGCAAGAATATCAAGCTGACCAGTATGCAAAGGTTCAAAAAGAAAAGATGCCAGAAAGTATAAAATCACAAGAGAAACCATCTAGTCAAAGTTAGCAATTTTATTAGATTTAAGTTAGAATTTGTTCGTGCAATATTATGTTATTGAAATGCTTATTTTATTTATGTATTTGTGCTAGTTTTATGATTGTAGATAACGCTTTCAATGTTAGTCATGTTATAGATGATTAGAAAATTATTAAAAAACATGAAATAAATTATAAAAGAGATTATAGAATGCAGTTGTATAAAGGAAATTTTGAAGTGACCACTAGCGAGCTCAATTAAGCCAATACATTTTGTCTTTTAACATTTTAAGACATTCTAGGATATTACTCTTTACGAAATACAACTTAAACCCAGATCATCATGTTATGTCCATAATTCCCATAAACTTATATTAGTTGCTAAAAATATCCAAAAATTTAGGTACCAATTTATATAGAATGAAGCAATTTTATCAAAAATAATATACCTAATAGTTATTATTTTTGCTCAATATAATTTTTATAGACCGGAATGCGTGTTTTATTTGTCAATTTATTGTAAATGGTATTATAATATAGTTTATTAATACAAATAGTACTAATTTCAAGGAAGTTTGAGCATGTCTAAATTGCATGTAAATCTATCAGAAAATACAAGGCGGATCCGTGGTATTCAACAATAAATGTTTAAAAAGTTCATAATGTGGTTAGTTAGAATTCAACAAAACTATTAGAACAAAATATTACACAAAATATTTGTGTAAAAAAATATAACTATAGCTTAGTTCTAAACTCAAGCTCTTAACTTTACTGCATTAAAAATATTAAACAAAATCATTTAAACTTCAAAATCCATTTAAATAGCAAAAAGAAAACAATTTAATACTAACAACATCGTACAAATATCAATTTCGAATTTATCACAAAACATTAATTAAAGTTTTGTTAGAAATTTTGCACGGTGGCAACATCACGTTCAATCGGCTGCCTGTGAGCACGATGAAAAATATATACACCTATATTTTATTTATAATAATTGGTACTTTCAATCCCAGAATAGAAGTAAGTAATTCAAGATTTTTTTAATATTAAAAAATGTGGCAAATCTCAATCAATAGGACGAGGCTCCGAAAAATGAAGCCATTCAATTGTAAATGATGTAAATTGATTGTTTTTCTTTACTAACTTTCGTGCTTAACAATATTACTATTTACAAAACCACCGATAAAATACCGAATTTAAATAAATGTGTGTTGGCACAGCTATACTACAAATGACCATAAAGTTAAATACTTTACAGAGTCATGCGCAAGAAAATGTTGGACCTACAGAAGAATCTTTAGAACAAGAAGCCAAAAGTGATGTAAACAGATTATTCACTAAAATCAAGTCCGTAAGTTATTTTGATGATAATGACAACAATAAAACTGCACCAAAAGATACTGACAAATTATCTGAAAAAATTAAACGAATAAAAAGATCTACATTTAGAGGCAATCAAAAAACATTCCGCAGAAACATTCCCAGTGATTATGTCCCTAACGCTGATGACCAGAATCGCTTTTACAACGTAATGCACCAATTAGCTTCGTCTCATAACAAATCTATAATTAAGAGATTAAATATGAAAAAAAATGAAAAGTTTGTTGATTCATTACGTAGAAGTTTTGCAAATATAAATTCTCAAATGTATCCTGTGGAAATTATATCTGGTGAAACGAGTAGAATAGATGATGATGACGATGAAGACGAAACTTCGTCAGAATTTGACAATAGAAGCATTATACGTTATTCGTACGATGAAAACGATTCTAACAATTTTATGGATAGTAATGAAAATAGAAGAACTACATTCCAAACTTATGAAACTTCCAGAACTAGAGACAACCTACCTGTATCAGACAATTTAGAACAGTTTAATAAACTGCTAAGACGATTGAACAAAAACGATGATAATGGAAGAATGAGAATTAGAGGAAAAAACGAATCTGATAATGATCAGATTTTCTTAAAACGTTTCCTTCCAAATAGGGAAGTGAACGAAGAAAATTTGTATGCAATTAATGATGACGCTAACGAAAATAATCACAAAAGAACTATAATAACTGTTCTGCGGACGGACTTGAGTGATGAACAGATACGTGCAGATATCAACGATAAAATTTACAAATTCATGCATCATTTTGATGATGATGATGAAAACGAGAGACATGTGCACGTAAGTAGCCTTACAAATATTGTAAATGTTAAAGTTAGTGAGAATGTATATTTGTCATTCTTTCACGCTTAAACGGCTGAACCTATTTGGTAGAAATTTGTTATATGTGTAGATAGATGATACCCTGGATAAACACATCGGCTTTTTATCAATAGACTAGTATTTCATATTTTAATTTTGTTGTTAACGTAAACAGCAGCGTAAATAAACGAATTCTTTCTTCTTCCTGTCTATTGATAATTCTAAACGTGATGAAAAATGAACCATAAGTACATCTCGGGGGTCAAAAAATATAAGAGTTCAGGATTTTGGCCTTGGAAAAAAGGTATCGCCTAAGATTCTAGTCTTACTGCGTTTTGGTGGAAAGGATTTTCAATTCCTTCGATCACGAGTTAGGATCGTCAGAAGAGCGTCAGACAAAACCATTTTTTTTATTAGTTAGAATATTTGCTTTGGGTCTATGCTATGCATAAATATTGTTTGTAGTATCTTGCTTCAATTGCCACATAAGCGGGTGCTGTGTTATAAATCTTATTTTTCGATCTGATAGTAAACGGATCATACTGGGTCTAGTAGACTAATTATGTTTTCAATCACCGCTTATCACGAAACTGTGTAGATATACAAATGGTCAGAGAAGTAAATATTTAGAATTTGTGTTTTGTACGTGTGTCCTAGCGGTGAAAAGTGAGTGCTAAATTATTCTTAGTCAATTTTTTTAATTGATTGACTTTTAATGTAAATTTCCTCCTATAGTTCTTTAAGTATGTAAGTGCAAAGAAAATTAAAAGACTCCATTTAAGACTACATTTATGTACCTTTCAATCGTGGTTAATCGAGACACAATAGTAAGAGAATAAGTGCGCAACGGCGTTCGCTTGGGGTTTAATGAGTTTTTCAAATTAAATTCAATCTAATTTATTATTTAAATAACATTCGTTTAAATCATAAACTGTCATAACCACTTGGATATTATTGAATCTATTTTTGACTCAATTAATATTTTCTCAGGATACAAAGGATGACGATGAAACGCGAACGAGAAGATCCCCAGAAACACGAGCAGGATATACTCAAAATCCTGACACTTGCAAAACTTACAACGAAAATCTCGTGAAACTCTGGGCCAATCTGTCAAAATATCTTAATGTCACTGAACAACCTGACGAACTTGCCCTACATAACATAGCAATGATAATACAAGCGTACCTTGAACATCACACGAAACTATTACCAAACACACAAAAACCTATACATCCAGGTGCTATAGACAAAGTAACCGAAATTATACTTAGAATAAGACAAACTCTCGACGACTCTCAAGTGAGTGATGCAAAAATTATCCAAATTATCAAAAAATATGTAAAACCTTTCTATGGTGATGTCGAAAACGAAGAGTGTCAACAGATCAATGAAGAATATTTACAATCTTCAGTTAGCTCGTTATTTAAAAAGTATCAGGATAATATCCGATGTTCCGATAAAAACGACTATTCTAGTGGTAATAAAAGATTGATTTTACGCCATATGAAGGACAAATCCTCGAAAACGTCCAAGGACAGCGGCCCCTTGCCAAGATCTAATGCTAACGTTTTGAAACCTGATAAAAGTATACACCATGAAGGCGAGTCGTTTAAAGACTTTTATAAGGGGAAAGTACCAAGTCACAAGTTAAGTCGTTATAGACAAGTGCCCCAACAAAACAGAAACCCATATTATCAAACCCTCAAACGTAGAATTCCAAGTAGGACTAAAAAGCGAACGACTGTAACTCGAAAAACATTTACAAGCAACGTTAAAACTAATGAAAAGAAAATTAAATGCAAAAAAATAGCAATAATGAGACTGATAACTGGTTTGCGACATGTAATAGAAAGATTTCGATCGCTACATGAATGCCAAATTGACAACACGTTGAGATCTAAATATAATAATAATAAATCGCCGCCACACTACATGTACGCTTTCAAATATTATTTGGAGGACTATGAAGGAAATCACCCTCATAGGAAATTTTTACCCATAGATATGTTGACCAGAAAAAACACAGAACGCGAAGTATATGATTCATCTAAAACGGAAACACATAAATCATCACATGAACTTGAAAAAGATGATTTAGTTCTTGATGATAGTTATACTTGGATAAGAAAACAAACCGATTCAGACGTAAAAATCGATGAAACAAATAATCCAATATCAACTACTAGTAATTATCTTTACACAAACGATTATTTGCAGGTGCCACCCATTTACGACGATTACGACGGTTTATCTAACACACCAGAACTCATTAACTCAAATAACTATTCCAACAAACCACTCATTTCTTTAATTGACAAAAAAAGAACTCTAGATAAGGAAAACAATAATAAAGCTGAGAATAAAAGTGTTAGTGTAGCTAATAGAAAACTTGAGACTACTGCCAAACCTAAGCGAAGTAGTAAAGATTCTTACGGATTTGATTTAGATTATTATGATGAAAATCATGTGAATGATAGTTCTGAAGAAATTTTTCAAGATTTAACCAGACTTACACACGCTGATGAAATGCCGCAAGAAAAAAAGAACGAACATTCATTTCATACATATGAAAGTCTTTCAGAACTACTTAAAAAGGCTCGAGATATTTCATTGCAAACACCAGAAGTTGCGATACCTATTGCCTTAGATAATGATAAAGGGTATGTAGAACTCACTTATCTAGTAAAATATCCGAAAATGCTTGTATACCGTCCACAGTTTCTAGTGAAAAATATAATGAGATATGACGACTTTCTTATGACAATTAATACTTTCAACATGACTAACAACGATGTACGTTTGATGAAAATTGTAAGACATATGCCCGATAAATCTGCTAAAGTTCTTTTCGAAACTGAAGATTCTGAGGAGCCGTTAGAGGTTCGTAACGTCAATGAAAATTTAAATAGCAGAAGGATTTTCTGGTCAAGAAATAATGTATTGGATAGAAGACCAACTGCTAGAATTCCAGATAATTTAGGATCAATTATCGATGGACTCCGTTATAATGAATTAAGTAGTACTAATAAAAATAAGGAATTATTCTCATCTGATAGTAAAACACGTACTGAAATTACTTCTGAGTCTACTTTACATGACACATCATCTTCAGAACTCAAAGCAATTACAACTACAACTGACTTAGCTGACAATATTCTAAAGATAGATTCTAAGTTTTCACACTTAGATTCAGCTGCAGGATCTCAAAGAGATGCAGCCAAAGCACCGTATTCTGCGTTTAACCCTAAAATACTTATTACTAATAGTAGTTCAGAATCTACTTCATCACAAGGCTCTTCCAATTACAACGAACCATTCCATCTTTTACCATCAGGAAACTATTTAAAAAATCCACACATATTACCTTCAGCACCATCTACTAGTAAACCTGAACAGCAGTCTTTATCCATCCGGATGTGGGACCAATTAAAGGTAAAGTCATTTTTTAACAAGGTCAAATAAATAATTTTATGAATAGACTCGACTTCTGGACTATGAGCATATTATCTACCATCCCTCCAAGTTGGGCGTCGTATTTTGAAATGATAATGTTTACCACAACCGGGGTTGCGGGGTAAGCGCAATGAGGTACCGCGACCTCGGCACAGAGCAGGAGAAGGAACAGGGGGGTTTTTAGTCAGTAAGAGTCTGACACTCCCTCCTGCCCGGCCCTGGGCGGGAGAAGTCATTTGATGATTTTCCCCTCACAAAAAAAAACCACAAGGCGCTACTACCAGCCCTGTGTCAAATATGTTTTTTAATAGTCGTTAAGTCCACTCATATGACACCCAAGGATCTTCAAGCTGCAACTTAGGATCACAGTTAGGACATCCAAGATCAAGTGGATATACTGTTGCTTTTTTATGAAATACAAGGCAAAAGAGCAGACATTTCACCAAATGGGAAGCACGCAGCTTTGTCCAAGGACACCTGCTATACGAAAGTGGTTGTAAGCAATCGCCACCGCCCTTGAACCCCACAAGACAGACACCACCGGAGCAACACCAGAGGAGTCGCAAGTGCTTTGCTGGTAAACTTTGAATAATATAGGTTGTGATTTATATTATTGGTTATAAAACAGGTAATAAAGTAAATGCCGGTTATGGAACCGATGGTAGATAGGGCGTAGAGGTTCTCAATAAAAGACCACGTGACCCAGCAACTGAAGCCTACCAACAAACTAGACTACAAATGTCCTGATATTATTATTAAATGGAATGTAATGAAATCAAATTACTTTCAACCAGCCTCTCTGAAATTCGTTGAGTCTCATTCACTTTACTTTGCAGTGAGTGTCTTCTCATTATCATTCGCCGATTAATTAAATGAAATCTTTTCTAGGAATTAAGTCGTAAACTGCCCTCAACGCCATCTGTGATCACTTCAAGAAAACATCTGGTTTTGAGGTAGGAAGAAAGTAAAGACGAAAGAATCTTAAAAAGATCAAATTAAATAAATCCCGTGTTTTCATTACGTACCTACCCAAAATCACTATATCCTTTACTTATTTCTGAACTTTATATAGGTAACTTGACCTTGCAACGGAATGCTACGCCAAATAAAATATAGGTAGGTACTTAAGCTCTACGTTGATGCTGCGCTGTGTCCGTTTCAAATGTAACTATGAAAGTATTTTTTGATTATCACTATCGGGCCTGGATGCGATGATATGATCTATGATCGAGCCTGCTTACCCATAAGCAACCTACTCATTCGGGCCTTGAGACACCCTTCATGGATACTGATTCCGATAAAGAATTTCACTTCGATAAATAAACAATCATTCGATAATAAAATAGTATGATGTTAATGACATTTTAGTTATTTAAAATTAGCTATGAAATTCTTAACTGAAGAAGTGTAATATATTGTTACCATTTTTTAAATTGTGTGATGAGGATTGTAATTTTCCTACGTGAAGTACCTACGAACTGGATTTTATTGTTTAATTGACATAGAAATAGATCAGGGTCTGAAATAACACATAGCCTACTGTTTTGTAAGCCTGGGTTGCAAGGTAAGCAAAATAAGTAACCGCGACCTCGCGGCCTGGAGCAGATGAAGCAACGTGGTGTTTTTTTGTCAGTACGGTAAGAGTCTGTCACTTCCTCTCGCCTTATCCTGGTCGAGAGAAGTCATTTGATGATTATCTCCCCGCAAAAATCCCTACTGTTCACTGCAAGTGAAGCCGCTGGCAAAAGCAATGTAGGTATTGAATTTTATTATAGTCTCAAAATACAATTTACCTTCCGCATATTTTCAAACTTTAATAAATGAAATGTACCTAATACGATTATTTGATTATTTAAAGACCAAATCTTTCTATCATATTGATTCATTGACTTAACTGAAGTGAGAGCCAAACTGGCCCAAGCCAAAAAAGAGTCATTTACATTCATTCATTTTCAAATTTTATTCAATGTGTGACAAGTTGTCAACGGTGATTGACGTGTCTTTCGTGTCATTACCGCTAATGTTATCTGTGGCATTTGAGTGATTTGTTTGTTTGTTATCAAACATAATTTTCTTTCTTGAATAAAATTGTTAAAAAGTGCTTATTAAATTAAACTAATAAAGACAGTAAAAAGTTATACGAATAAATAAATTGCAACACTAAAAGTAAAGACAGGATTAAAGTGTTTACCATTTTGAGGTTATTTATGCACTTTTGTAAAAACGAACATTTAATAACATACAAAAATGGTTTGTGAGAAATGTGAGAAGAAATTGGGCCGTGTGATTACACCGGACCCTTGGAAATCAGGAGCCAGAAACACAGTGGAATCTGGAGGACGAAAAGTTGGTGAAAATAAAGCCCTAACTGCGAAGAAAGGGCGATTTAACCCTTACACGAGCAAATTTCAAGAATGCAGGCAAGTTCTAATCCTAATTTTAATTAGTATTAAGTTCTTCTTTGGTCAGTGAGCTCTTTTTTATCACAATATTATGACAAAATTCCCATGAGACATAACACACTTAATTTCTAACTGTACAAAATGCATTTTTACTTTTAACAATAGAAAAATATTTTTAACCCGTGTTATTAAATGAAGTATTTGTAAGTGAACCTCTTTAGTTCCTAATCTGTGTCAGTCAACAGTCAATAGATTAATGGTAATCTAAGAGCAACCCTTATTAATACTTTCTTATATAACAGTAAACTATCAATAAAATAGCAGTTGTAGCAAATATAATATAAATATAAATTTTGTATACTATGACTACTTTTCTTACTTCTACTAAATTCATAGTTGTAAGAGTTCTTGTAAAAAGATTTTTCCTTTAGAATAGAATTGGAGTCAATATGAAAAGTTACATTTTATTTAAAAACACCTAAATCATCTGTGTTCTCTTTGTAATAACTAAACTTCTAGATGTTAAATGTTCAATAAAGTTATTTGATTGGTTGGGAGTAGTAAAAAAATATTGGTTTTAGCTGTTAGAAATTCATTATTCTTTACTTTTTGTGCTGTGATGATAGTGAACTAAACTAAAACTCAAAAATATCCTTTAGACAATGTGCTATAATGGCCCTGGCCTGAAGCAGGAGAAGGAATGGGGTGGTTTTTATTCAGTAAGAGTGATACTCAGTCTCACTCCATCCATGACGGGAGACCTCATTAGATGATTTTCCCTCTCAAAAATGAACCAAGATCAATGTAAAATAAAGAACATACATCTATCATAGGTTAATTTTATGGAGAATTTTGGAAAATTGAAATGATCTGATATTTAACCAATACTTAATTATTTATTTATTTAAACCCAAGATTCTGTCCCAATGGTAGCATTCTGTTGCAGTGGTATGTCAATTAATATTATGTAGTTAGGTGGTGCCTATCATCACATTACTCACATTAATAACAATTCTTATATAAATATGTAAAACAATTTCTTGAAATATTTTTACTAGTGTCCTACCCTGGCTTCACAAAGGTATTATTAGACATATAAAACTTCCTATTCAATCACTCAATCTATTAAAAAACAGCAATCAAATCTGTTGCATAGTTTTTAAGATTAAAGCATACATAAGGATATGAGGACAGAAAAAGCCACTGTTTTATTTATATAGATAATGATAGGCAAAAGAAATGAAAAATTTGTTTTTTTTTTGTTTTTATTTATTTTATACTTTTGCCCGCGACTCCGTTCACGTGGAATAGTGACGTCCTGCAGATTCTTGTTATAAAAACTATCCTATGTCCTTTCTCGATTTCCAAACTATGTCTGTACAATATTTCACAGAAATTGGTTAAGTAGTTTACGCATGAAGAAAAGACAGACAGACATGAGTAACTTTCGCATTTATAAGTTTGGATTATTCACTCTCCTTTTTGCATGGGATAGCCTCAACGTAGTGAGGTCTTCACTATGCCAATTGCCCCAACTCAACAGTCATATTTATTTGTAAGTAATGAAACAGTAATGACACACTAACAGATATTTTTTTTTATTTCAGGATCTGCAGAACTAAAGTGCATCAAGTGGGTTCCCATTACTGCCAAGCCTGTGCCTATAAGAAGGGAATATGTGCAATGTGTGGGAAAAAAATATTAGATACTAAAAACTATAGACAAAGTTCAACATAAAACCTTGTAGATTAGAATAGGTTATAATTATGTAATTATAATATTTTGTTAAATTAAGGGCTGATTTTTAATAGTCAGATATTTGCTATCTGAGGAATAAAATTGTTGCTGTCACTGTCTTATACAAACAATCTGACGTCACAGCATCATAATTTTTCCCCAGGTAACTTTTATCTAACCATTGAAAATTCAGCCCTAAGTCATTTAATGTAAGTTATTTTTAGTTACCTTGCGGGCACCATACCTATTGATGATAAATGAATGTTTTTTTTAACTTTGATAGTCATCGACTATCAACTAGGGTCAGCGTCATCAACCTACTCAATTTGTCTTATTTTTCATAAAATTTTTACTTTATGGCTTCATTTAATGGGGGCACAAAATATAAACTTCCAAATAAATAATTTGGAAATAATGTTTGAGAAATGTATTAAGTAAAAAACTTCAATAATATCTTAAAATGTTTGTTTTATAATTAGGGCTAAGAACAAAAATTGTAAAATTTTTAAACATTCATTCAAAAACCAACCTTTTTTTTAATTAAATTAAAACTTTTATTTAATATTTCTTGTACATAATAATGTATGTTAATTTTAAGGTACTAGTTTTAATAAATATGATAAAAAATACTTTGTTTCTCTCATCTCTAATGAGCCCATAGCCACCCACCCAACCCACGGCGGAAGCAGTCCTTTGAAAAATTCTCCACACTCAAAAAATAACAATATTGTATCATCCTGAGTATATCTCTTGCAAGCGGACCTTTAGGGCCACGGAGCATAGAGAAACACTAGGCGACGACACGGTGGCACATTACGGACAAAAGGCGGTATCACAGTGATCAAGGCTGCCGTGCACAAAGAGTCTCAACGAAGACGCAAGGTCTCCCTAAGAAAGGCGCGCCGTGAAGGCTCCGGAATAGGTCTACAAGAGGACCTAGTTGCAAGAAACTCACTCTCCTAGTCTTTCTCTCCTTAAAACATGGCGCCTTTTCAAGATTTTCCCTCGTAATACAATAGACAATATTGTAATTTTTTTTTTCTTCCTTAGGTCTAACATCTTTACTAGGTAGGTACTTATTTGGCTGGTTTAAAGAAGTATTTAAGCAGCACAGCACCTTCTTAAAATTAGGAACCTACGTAGTTGACGTCTTGAAGCAATAAATTAGGAACAAGCAATAAGTACCTAACCGAGTAATCACTTATTATTCATTCTTATATATAGGTAGTTTTACAAACAACTCAATTATGAGAAACATATTTTTCGCGCCGAAAACAAAATTAAAAACACGATTACGTACTAAGTTGTTTCTTGGACTCAGTGTTACCTAGTAGCTAGGTAGGTATGTGTAATAAATAATTTTACATTTTGAAATGTTATTTCGTTATTGTGCCATTATTTGTGTTTTGTTGCTGTATTATTTTAAGGTCTGTTATTTTTTTTTCTTAATTGTCATATGTAGGTCCTAATCACTCCTATTTTTTGTTGAAAATATAGCGCAATTTCACGCCAGGCCTATTAATGCCTAAGGAAAGGTCTCCCACACTTGGTTACAGTGTGGGATATCTAAAAGAAGTCGGTTAATTATGGCAAACAATGAATATGCAAATAGCTTCACTAAGAGGACTAACCGACAGACCGACACTTTAGGTACCTAAGATCTAATGCTTTGTTTGACGTTCAAAAGTGTCAGGGTCTAATTGAAATAAATGATTTTGACTTGAACTTGCCTGGAAGGAACGAGATGTCGCATGTCGGATGGATAATAATATCTAATTTTGTGTTGTAAATCATATCAACATTTCACACTTTACCTACTTTCTTCTTCTTAAAACTTGCTTACGAAAAAAGAGCTCTTTAGGTAGGTAATTTAATTTTAATTTAATCTTTTGTATTCAGGCGACAATGGCCCATAGTTATAATATACCTTGAAAACGAATATACCTGTAGGTATACGATATATAGGTAATACAAAACGTTTAAATAAATAAAACAAAAATGCGTTCATGTGCCTACTTATCCGTGGAAGCGAGTTTGGCCCACCAGTGACTCAATAATTAGGTTTTTTTTTTTATGGTAAAGGTCGGCAAACGAGCAGACGGATTACCTGAAGGTAAGCAATCAGCGCCGCCCATGGACACCTGCAACGGAGGAGTTACGAGCGCGTTGTCCGCCTTTTAGGGGTAATGATTTCGGATATTTACGGAATGGGAAGGGATGAGGGGAAGGGGAGGGATTGGGCCTCCGGTAACCTCACTCACACGGCGAAACGCCACGCTGTGGTTACTTCACGCCGGTTTTCTGTGAGGCCGTGGTATCACTCCGGTCGAGCCGACCCATTCCGAGTGCGTTGCCGGCCTTTTAGGGGTAATGGTTTCGGATATTTAAGGATTGGGCATTATATTATTACAGAAGTTGGATAACAAACTAATCTCATTCCATACCATCAGACAGGAGTATCAAATGAATACAAGAAAGTGTCTTACACCAGCAACGATGCTATTCAGAACATATTTGCGCAACTCCTTAGCAATATTGTGCGAGTGAACGAGGAACGCATGGAAGCCATGAAGCAAATAACTCATTTGCAAGATTATATACTAACTAAAAATAAACTGAGAAACTATGAAGATAGCTATGATTCTTTGGAAGATGATGATGATAACCGGTTCTGGCGGGCTTATTCTGTGAGTACTTTTTTTGCGGCTGACTATCATCAAATTATCAAAAACCTCCTCTCGCCCTGGGTTGGCCGAGAGAAAGTGTCCGTCTCTTACTGACGAAAAGCCATCCCATCCCTTTTTTTATGTAATAGGTCGGCAAACGAGCAGACGGATTACCTGATGGTAAGCAATCAGCACCGCCCATGGACACTCGCAACGGAGGAGCAGTTTGCCGACCTTTTAGGGATTAGGGATTTGGAGATTTAGGGCTTGGGGGAGGGGAAGGATTAGGCCTCCGGTCACCTCACTCACACGGCGAAACACAACGCTGTAGTTATTTCACGCCGGTATTCTGTGAGGCCGTGGTATCACTCCGGTCGAGCCGACCCATTCGTGCCGAAGCATGGCTTTCCCACACTTGCATCCCTTCTCCTGCTCCGAGCCCAGGGCCGCGATACTTTATTGCTCTGCCTGTTGGCTGAGTATATTTACTGCACCAACTTACGCTATGCTCATGAAGATGTCAATTTTTATATTGCAGAAAAGTTCCCATTTTCACTGAGACAAAATGACAGCGGTATGATCGGGACGCCCCCGTAACTTAACTCGTTCGGCGAAAGATATAAAATGTCGATTCACGCCGCTCAGTTTCCTGCGAGGCCGTAATATAACTCCGGTCGACACGGCCTATACCTGCCAAAGCTAAATAAATTATTAGGCTATTAAAGTTAAAAATAATCAATACACGTTCTTCATTTGTTTTTTTTAACTCGCCTTAATTTGAAATGAGTAAGTAATTACTTACAAATCAAATCTTAATAATCTTAGAAATAAAAAAAAAATTACATTGTAGAGTCTCAATATATGTGATAAAAACTTAGTGTACATATAACATTTAGTTTTTAAAAACCAATACGTCTGAATCAAAACGAAACTCATGAACTTTCGTCATCACTTCAACTTATGTTGAGTAGGTAGGTAGGTTTCTTCCTATCCTTCCTGGGTGCGCCGAAAGAGATTTTTAGACTCTTCGGTACTGACTAAACACCACCAAGTTTTTTATTCCTTGAGGATAAAAAAAACTATTTTTTCTCCCCTTCTAATTTATTTTGTTGTGATATCCAAGATCCAATTCATGTCCCTAGGACGCGCCGGACTTCGGTGTTCTGGTGTTTTTGTTTACAGGAGTTACAGCGGTTTTGGGAGGTTTTGGCGGACTTGTCCCATTTAAAAAAAATGTTGCAATAGCTCTTCCAGGCTGGGGCAGCGATAATTTATTGCGTGTCATCTACGACCCAGCAAAAAAAAATGAAGTCTGATAAATCTATGCCTACGTTAACAAAAAAAAAAAATCATATCAACTGCCCACCAAACTGCAAAACAAATACAAATTAACAAAAAACAAGTACGAATCAAATTATTGATTATCTTTCTCATTAAAACAGCCATTTTATGTTCTCGACAATCCAATCAAATTCTCCACGATTGACAACATGACCAATCGAATGGCAATACCACAAGAAATTTTTTTAGCTGGCTGAATATAAAACTGTTTTATTTACAATGGTACCGCGTTTAGTTTGCTCTTACATTGTGATTGTTTTTTTATATTCGGGTGTAAGTATGTATCATTTTATTGTATTTTAGTATTAATTGTTTACTTAATGTGTTTTAATATAATAATACCTATTATTTATCGGTTACTTTCAACTTGGTTAAAAATAACCTCAAAATCGAATATTATTATTAGTACCTACATAAAATAGAAATGTGAAGATGAATCTAATCCAAATAAAATATCTCTTTTGTAGTGATGTAGTTGTTATGATGATGTCATCAAATTACTTCTCTCGTCAGGGAGTGTCTGATTACTACTGACTACTTTTCCTACTTCAGGCCGAGGCCGCAGTTCCTACCTTAATATCACTTGGAATCTTTATTACTACGGGTACAATCAACGCTGAAGATTTCCTTAGGGCTGATTTTTCAATGGTTAGATAAAAGTTATCTGGGGAATAATTATGATGCTGTCGCGTCAGAATGTTTGTATAAGACAGTGACAGCAAAAGTTTTTTCCTCAGATAACATTTTTGACTAAGTATTGAAAAATCAGCCCCTAATCTACTTACACCATCAGTCACTTGTTTTCGTGCTGCTTAGGTAATTGTGTATTGACTACGAGAAGGACAAAGCGGTGCAATTAATACTTATTGAATCTATTCTCAAATCAAAGGCACACAATATATTATGAACTTGGCCTTAGAATTTCAGTAATAACTACGTAAGCATGTACTACAATATTACTGAATGGTTTCAGATATTATTGATTCCACAAATCCACCAGGCTACAGCGGAAAATGAAGATCAAATACGGGACCTGTTTAAAAGTAACATGACAAGAAATGACTTCTCGAACCTTCTACAGTCATTGATCAAGCTGAACGAGCATAGGATCAATGTCCTGAAGAAACTGTACAGCTTGGATGACTATGGGATGCTAAAGGCTTTTCTAAGATCAAGAGACGAGAATCCAAGCAAAAATACAGACCTTAAGAATTTGTACCTTTTTATTTTATCCAATGTAAGTAAGATGTTGAAGTTGGATGATTGTTTTGTAGCAGTACATAGTAGCTAATAGTTTGCGAAGTAGTTATGATTTTGTTTAGTACTACTTATATTGTTTGTTTTTCTCTGTTTTTTTTTATTTCTAATGCTTTTCTTCTTGTCCTTAGCAACCGGAGAGGATGTAGCAGTCAACCTGGGACGCCAAAGTATAGAATATTCATTAGAATCTTTTGATTGATTAAAGTTAATAGTATCAACATAGTTTTCTTTTCCTGTAGTTTACATTTTAGTACGTTGTTGAAATTGGCGTAGCTTAGTAATTTGTATTTAAAGGGTCATTACTTCATCATTATCATCATTCGGAAGACATCTAGGTACTACTGAACAAAAGCCTCCACTTTGCACTTCTATATTTTTTTAAAATTTAATTTTTCCATCATTCAATCCTGCTTCAACAATTCTTCCTCATTGAACGACAGCTTGCTACTCGCATCCAAAGGTACTCCGTGTAGTATCCGTGATCTCCACTCCTTCTTTTTGTCCACTTTCCTCTTATCGCGCTTATCAAATTACTTCTCCTGCCCAGGCTATGGCGAACGGAAGTGACAGACTCTTTCTCACTAAAAACACCCCCGTTTCTTCTCCTGTTCTGGGCCGGAGCCACGTAGGATCATTGCGCTTGTCCCGCAACCCTGGCTGAACATCAGCTCTATAGGGCCCCGTCTGTGATAGTCTATTGCCGCCGCATGCTCAAGCACTTTCCTCTGTTCCGCTAATTTTATTTATGCTCATTGTGTAAAAAAATATTTAGTAGAAGTATTTCGTTTAATATCAAAGTGATTGTAAATTCAGTGTACGAATATCAAACATACGTTATACATATATAATATTATTAAAAACATACATTTATTACCAATAGCACTTTTCCTTATACATTTTAAAGTAGGTTATGTTTTCCAGAATCAATCAAACTCTTCCCGAAGAAATACGGGGATACAAGAAGTAGAACCACTTCGATCTTTCGTAGCCGCAAACAAATTACAAAAACGTTCCATTGATTCAAAACTAGCACCAGATTCAAATCCAACTCGTGAATCTCCCGACATAGCACTACAGAAGCCATTAAATCTCACCAAAAAAGCTAAAATTAAACTAAGAACTAAAAACGTATATGAAATAGACGATGAAAGTCACTTATTCCCAACCTTCAAACCACCCCATAACTTGAGAAATAAATTAACAGATACTAAAAAAATAAATTCACATCAAGACATATCAGAAGAAATTCGTCAATCAACATCTCATCCACATATAGAGATCAAGAAAGATTCCGAAAAACCCCAAGATCGCTATAAAATTGTCACAAACACAAACATAACTTATTATGAACCCGAGATAAACACTGATTCTTTTGAACCTCATGACAAATCTGACACGTATACGGACATAGATTTAACTGCTGAAAATGAACGAAACAGTGAAATAATTAAAAAACAAGACATATATTCTGACGATGACGAAGATGATAGTCAAACTACACTAGAAGAAAATTTTGAAAGTGGCAGAGAATTCGATAATAGTAGTTATGAAGACAAATCTAAATCTAGTGAAGTATTAACAAAAAATAAACACGCTCTAATTAAAACGTATAGTAAAGTGGGAGAAGAAACGGGTAGAGAACATCATCAACATAATACTCATAGTCAAAATAAATATAACTTACTTAGAAACAACAAGAACACTCGTGAAAAGCCGCATCACCGTCAACTTAGTCATCAAGTGTCTAGAGATTTTTCAAGTGAATATAGACACAATAATAAAAAACCTAAAATCAAAAGAGATTCAAGTGAAAGAGGGCATCATAATCTATATGTCACAAAAGAAATATCAGGCGAAGTTAAGAAGACTAAAAACCGCCCAAAGCTAATTGTAGAACATTCAGGCGAGCACAATCACAGAAACCATATCGATAATTTCAAATCAATTGAAAAGGTAATACCTTCTAAGGTTACAAAAGGCTACTTAACTCATTTCAGTGACGATATTCACAGAATAAGTCACGAAGAAAGTTTTCATGAAAAAGATTATAATAATGAGCACAAAGGTCATTCTAAGCACTCCTATGAAAACAATAACCATCGAATAAATCTTAACTCAAAAGAACTCAAGTCTAACGAAGAACATGACAATGAGGTTAAAAAATATAATAATTATAATGACTATTTCAAAGAAGATGGATATAAATCTAATAAAAATTCGCATGAATCCAGCGAAAAACATTACAGCAGTGTACATCATAAAATGACTTCAGATCACTTCAGTGGCGATGATCATCGAATGAGTGGCGAATCGTCTAAACAAGATGTAGACAATAAGCATTCAAAAACAAGTTCAAACCACAATGAAAATGATCATAGAATAAGTCTTGATGACTATACAAAGAGCCAAATTAATACACATATAAGCAGCGTGGGGCATTCGAAAAAAAACAGTCATCGAATTAATCCAGATGATAATAAGTCATACGAAGAAATGCCAACTAACAAACATAAAAGCAGCTCAAAGTACTCAAATGAAATGAATAAGTCTTATGAAAGGGAACAGGATAATAAACACAAACATAATTCAATGGGTTCTAATGAAGATGCACATCAAGTTATAGTAGATGAAAATATATCTAAGAAAATCCACAAAGACTATAAACCGAAAAATTATATTAGGAATGATCGATCTAAAGAAGCTTACAGTTACAAATTGAATATTGAAGATATACCACAATCTGAGAAAAATGACCATAGAATAAATGAAAACGAAAATCATGACGAGAAAAATGAAAACCAGCATAAAGAACTTGAACCCTATTCAAGTTCATATTCAAAACAAAAAAAAGATACATCGTCATCTAGAGAGGATCACGACAGATCATCGCCTCTCCCAGATTCAGATTTCTGGCATGACTCACCCCAAAGAAATACATTTCATAAAACAAACAATGAATTCTCAAACAAGATTGGCCATACAGTTTTAAGAGATTTTAATGGTCATGCGGACGACGAGATAGTATCAAAAATCAATGATATGCCCTTCGGAGATGGTCGTGGTGACAAAAAACCTGAAACAGGTAAAGGCGGAGGTGAAGATTATCATGATATGGAGGACTATATGGCAAGTGTAAAATCTCGTGAAGCGTTGAGAGGTAAACCACAAGAAGAAGCAGTAAAACCTCCTGAACGCCAATTACCAGAAGGAAACGAATACGACCAACCGGCTGCGAAACCTCAAGAATCGAGAAAGATTTTTCAAAAATGTCTTAACAAAACAGCGTCAAAATTATGCAGGAAATCATGCATAAGCGCCTACAAAACCGTTTGTCGGAGAATGAGATGTACATCGAAATCGAAAAAGGCGCTTAAAAAGGAATGCAAGCGAAGTTGTAAAAAAGTATTTTCAATTAAATCTAGTAAATATAGCGATGAAAGCGGCAGTTAGTAACTGTTTTATATTTAAAGTAGACCTATGTTTGACTACCCCTATTTCGTTTTTGTTTCACCACTCGTAAAATAACCTCTTGTGTAACTAATTAGTTTCGTTTATTTTAGTTAAAACCGTTACTGAAATGATCAGAATCTTGCGGAATTAGCCGAAATAATGGCATACCCACAATCCATTAATTGTTCAGTGTCTTGTGCTCTTAAGGCTTTTCTTCTCTCTCTTTCAAGACAAAAGAAGAAAGGGAGAATTTGATTGAAGTTTAGTTGCTCAAAGATTTAATTTGAAGTTATTCAAGTATCGAAAATCATACAATTATTATTTTCTATGTAGGTAATGGATTAATAGTATCGATTGGACAAATCGAATTGTAGTGAAGTAGGTATGTTCGCGTTTATAAGTTTTTTTCTTCATTTCATTTTTTTATTAAATTGAAGTCCCTTTATTCTCTCTCCTTCTCTGGGCTAGGGCCGTGGCCCATTATTGCTACTACATCATCAAAAACACACCATGCTAACATGAAAATCGTGAAGAATGGCTGATTTCGTATTTTGTGTAAAATGTCACCTCCATTTTCCGAAAATACCGTTGAATGATTGATGTTTTTTTTTTTTGTGGGGGTAAAGTTATCAAATGACTTCTCGTAGGGCGTAGTAGGTAGGGTGGGACACTCCCTCCCGGGAGGCAGTGTCAGACTCTTACTAACTAAAAACCGCCCCGTTCCTTCTCCTGCTTTGGGCCGAAGCCGCGGTCATTGCGCTTGCCCCGCAGCCCCGGCTGAACATCAGCTTTATAGGGCCCCGTCTGTGATGGTCTATTGGCTCTTTGAGGCGCGCGCGGAACGCAAAGTGCCGTACATTCGGTCCTGGTTCTGGGCGGGCGGCGAGTAAGGGTAGCTCGCAGACTGCCGCCGCAGCTGGCCGAACGTCGTCTCTCGATCAGCGATACGTTTATATTACGGTACGTAAAGTTTTAACAATGACTTATGTTAAAATAATCGGAACTAAGAAACGTCGTAAAGCAAATATCTAAGTATAAAAAAATAATTAAAATTTTAACTGATTTCGGCCATAATGTTCTATTGAGATTCGTCATCATTGAGATGATTCTTCTATCGACTGTAGTAACTGTATTATTATATGTGAGTACAAACCATTTGAATTATTTTCGTCCAACTAACAACAACAATCAAAAAATAATTAATATATTTTTATAAACTAAGAACTTGGGACGATCTTATCGTCGCAAGTTCAACATCATCAAAAGTACTAAATCGATTTTAGTAAAAGCTGGAACTCTGGCGCAATATACAAAGTTCTAAAAACTTACTGAAGTACATTTTCGAAATATTTTTTTAATGATCTGGTGTTACTAGGTTTTAAACCTGGATATATTACCTACGTGCAAATGGCAAAATTCAATGAAATATGTTTAGTATACATGTATTTCTGAAAGATTTTCTGACTGGACATTTTTTCAGCGTGGACCTTTTTGATTTGATATCTCATTCCACGCTTTAACACAATAATACCTATTTGTCTTCACTACAAAAACTGGCATATTATCATCTTCGACTATTATTTTTGTTAAAATTTCAGGGCGCCTCAGATGCTAGAAATATTGTAAAGAATTATCAATCCATTCCCGATGACAACGACGATCTATCTAACTACAGAAGTAGCAGAGCGATAGACGATTCCTATGAGCTACTGGGCTTAATCATCCTAGATGTAAGATTATTTTTATCAATGCTACAAGGTACAAATATACTTAAGCGAAGATATTCATTGAATAAACAATGCCATTAAGGCCAAAGCTACATTAGGAGTAGGGCAGAACGGTGGGACCGTAAGTACGGCGGGTTTTATTCTGTTTCGCGGTTTACAAAATCACGCGGTTGAAATCCGTAGAGCGGCTTAAAGTGGTATAGAGACTAATGTGGTATATAATCTAAGAGACTAAAAATATATCATAACTATCTACCGTCCCGCAGTTTCACCCACTGCTCGGCTACTATTGGTCGTAGTGTGATGTTTTATAGCCTATAGCACTCACCTATGAATGAAGGAATTTTGGAAATGTGACCAGCGGTTCCAAGCTTTACCCCCTATATACCTACAAACAAATTTTACGTCTTTATTATATTAGTATAGAATAATAGTAAAGCTGCCAGGTTTGTTTATAAATTGCATGTTTTCGAGTTAAAAGAAGAACAAAATTGAAGATGATTCTAGAAACATTTAATTGAAAATTAAAATATTTTTCGAGGTCTCTTTTCTATATAACAAATTGCTTTAGTCATTTCGTATAAGCATACGAAAATTCTTATATATACTATACTTATTCTTATGTATACTATGTATGTATGTATAGCAAGAAGTATATTAGAGCAATCTTAAAATTATTATCTTATAATGAAAATGCGTTATTAAAAAGCTATAATTATCCAATTCTTCCCATACATTTTTAATTAATCTTTAATGAGTTACACGAAAGTTTATTTCTCGAAATTATCTCTTGCATGTATGTTTCGGGATTGTCCGTTTGTTTATATTCAGTATTTAATAAAAACTGAGCTCTTCAATAAGTTGAGTACCGATGATGCTGGACGACGTAAATGAATCAAACTATTATAGACCTTCTGAGAAGGTCTTTCAGGGGCAGATGTATGATGCAAGCCAGAAGAAAGAATACCGACTCGATCATAGAAGAAGTTGTCTCAGCTTAATTCGAACCTTACCGCGTGATAAACTTATGAAACTATTCAGGCAATCCCAAAACAAACAAGTGAGTAAAACTATCAACTACTTATAACGCTTAGAGGAGAATATTAATAAAATATATGTACATGTGTGATAATGTGAACTTTATATTTTCAGTACAATCCAATCGGCAGGCGAAATAATCATGTGGCCATTCAAACAAATTTGTCGGAAGATGAGCTTGAGGAGAATGAAGATTACGAAAGTAATAAGAATAGAATAGAACTGCGAAGTAAACGACACAAGAAAAAACGACATATTGATAATAACGATAACATCAAAAATAAAAGTGAAGATACAAAAACAACTAAAATACTTAATGCTGAAAAAGAAAAGTTAGTAGAAAACAAATTAATCGAATTGATTAAAAAAAAATTAAAGAAACACCTGGATGGTGAAGCAAAAAAGAAAAATGAAATGATAAAAAATGGCGTGAATCAACTTTCAAAGGAGAATATAGTTGAACACGACTTAGAGAAAACCAATGTCAATAAAGATGAAAATTTAGAAAACCTAAAAAAGCAAAAGGTTAATCACGACAAGCACTTTGATATAGATACAGAAATGAGGATAAGTTCAGGAGAACGTGATAAAGGGGAAAAACGAAAAGTTGAGAAAAAGAAACATGTCGAAAAATCTGATTTTGATAGTCCACCTAAACCGAAACGTTTTGATGTTATCTCAAAAGAATTATCAGAGGAACATAATGAATACGACAGTACAAAACCGAATAAAAAAGCCCTGTCTACACATGGAACTGACCAGGAAGACGAAAAAGCTAAACCAAGGGGTAATAAGAAAAATGAATGTATTAATGAAACGGAGGCAAATATTGACAAATGTGTACGGGCTTGCCAAAGAACACACGAAGACGTGTGTGACCTCTTAACTTGCTCCGCCAGGTCACTAAAGGCTCTAAGAAATGAATGCAGTGTTAGTTGCAAAAAAGTATTTCCCATAAGATGTTAATATAATTTGAATGTGAAACACAAAGCCATTGTATGTTACAAGCAAATAAAATGTTACTCAAAATCTGTTTATTATTTGCCTACTTACTTTATACGACTTTATAATCTCTAAAAAAGGAATTCTGTTCGTCTATGTTATATACTGTGAATTTGCAAATAAGTTTGCCGCATTTTTTTTGTCGCAAATAATCGCAAATATTATCTGGTACTAAGCTTCAAATGTAAAAGATTATGAGAACGGCTAGAAATAATAACAACAGTTGACGTTTAGTCTTTTTTTAAATTAACACGTGCTACTGAATGTAGAAACAGTAATGTGCATAGAATATTGTGACAGAAAACTCTTTGACATCATGACGTCAATGGATGGTTGTCAAACGTTGCCTAGAGATTGTAAATTTCGTCGTGAATTGTCAACACGAGTTGGTGTAATCGGTAAGGCGTGTGGATTACACCACAGAGACCCCGAGTTCGAGTCCCGCCGTAAACATGAAGTTTTTTAGTTGATGGAAGTTTTGTCGAACTTTCTGGAATATTTGAGTGAAAGTGATGAAAAATTAAGGAGCGAGAAGAAGAATAAATAAAAATGAATAACGAAATTATTGGAAGATTCTGGAGGCATGACGATCAAAAAGAATAACGAAATTGAATGTTCTAGAACCTGACCGGGGGTATATAAGCGGAACTGCGGCTCACCGCTGGCAGTTGAGTTCTAAGTCTAAAGCGATTCGGAAGAAAAGGAAGAAGTGAGAAAGAAGAAAAGTGAGTGAAATAGTGAAGTGCAGTGAAATAGTGAAGTGCAGTCAGTTAAGTGAGTTAAGTCAGCGTGAACGCAAAGTTGTGTCAGTCGGCCGGACTCTGCTGGAGAGGAACGCCGATAACTTAACTCCGTGGACGCTGTAACTTAAGTGCAATAGAAAGTCTGAAAACCGGTATTAGTGTTTCATTTCATCCAATCCCGTAACCCAAGCCCGCATAGTCAGGAACGTGACGTCAGGCACGTAACATTTGGTGTCAGAAGTGGGATTGGAGAAAAATGCCGCTAGTGCCGCAGGACGTAAGAGGAGTGAGTACCCGTTCAATGTCAGAAGCGCAGCGTGTGAGGGAAGAGGGTGCTGCAGCTCAAACCAGCGATGCAGAAGCCAAGCCTGTGCAGGTGGATCTTCTGCTACAGCTGCAGCAAATGATGGCAGAGCAAGCGCGCCGCCAAGAAGAGCAAGCGCGCCGCCAAGAAGAGCAAGCGCGCTGTCAGGCAGAACAGCTGCGGGAGCTGAAAGAAGAGCAAGCGCGCCGCCAAGAAGAGCAAGCGCGCCGCCAAGAAGAGCAAGCGCGCCGCCAAGAGGAGCAAGCACGCTGTCAGGCAGAACAGCTACGGGAGCAAGCACACTGTCAGGCGGAGCAGCTACGGGAGCTGAAAGAGATGCATAAGGATTTCACGAAGGGACTGCAAAAGGCTGTCGAACGGGTACAGGAAGTGGAGGAAGGGTTAGGCAAGTTGGAACATCGCGACATGGCCATAGAGGAGAGAGTGGAAGAAGAGATCTCCAAAATCAAGCAGGAAATGACAAGCCCAAGCCCTTTGAAGAGCCGAAGCCGTCTTGCAGCCGTTTTTGACGCCCCAAATGCGGCCTCAAGCGCAACGAAAGGGCTCAAGATTCCCCATTACGACGGAACAACATCCTGGACCGCGTTCAAGCTACAGTTTGAGACACTTATGGAGGCTTATGGTTGGACTCAGAAGGAAGCACAGTCAGCCCTCACCCTGGCCCTCCGTGATCAAGCGCTCTCAGTGCTGGAAGCTATCGGCGCAAGTGGGGATCTCAGCTTTAGTACCCTCCTCGACGCACTTGAGGCACGTTTTGGAGACAGCCACCTCGAGCACGTGTACAGAGCGCAATTAAAAGAGCGTACTCAGCGTGCTAATGAGAGTCTACAGCAATGGTCCGTGGAAATCGAGAAACTTGTGCGTCGAGCTTTTCGGTCGACTCCATCAATGATTGAAGGCACGCTTCTCCAAGCATTCATTGACGGTGTTCGGGACCCCGAAGTACGAGCTGCTGTTCATCTGGGCCATCACAAGAACATGAAAGAAGCTCTGGCCCATGCATTGGAAGTGGAAGCCGTGCGTGGTAACTCCCGTACCTTACGTCTGCGGGAAATGACGACAACGGAGCAGGTACCTCCACGCCGTCGGAACTTCATGTGCTATGGATGCGGAGAGCGTGGGCACATGCGGAGCGACTGCCCGAAGAAGGTGAACCGCCAGGACGCGGCGGTCTCAACTTCTGACCAGCAGGGAAACTAAATCCAGCCAGGGCTGCGGGGTGGGCGCTGGCCGGTAGTGGAATAACCCCAACAATCTACATCAAGCAAACTAGCGATGGAAATACTCTGGTGATAGACGGTCAAGTAAATGGGAAAAACAGTCAGCTAACATTAGATACTGGAGCTTCAAGGACGGTGATAAATGTTCGGCTGCTCGGGCAAAACATCAGGAAACACGTTAAACCAATTGTTGGCCTACGAATGAAATCAGCTACCGGCCAGTGCATACCGATAAGTGGAAAACTGCATGTAACAATCAAAATTGGGGAACGTGTTTATCGACATGAGGTTATTGTGGCCAAAATTCTGGATGACTGCATCCTAGGACTTGACTTCCTGCAAGGGCACCAGTGTAACATCGACTTAAAATCTGGAGTATTACTATGTGGAACTGAAGAAATTCCGATGAAGGGTGGAACCCTGGGAAAAGTTTGCTGTTTAAGAAGAACTGTTCTTGAACCAAAATCACAGACTCTCGTACCAATCGCATTACCTAGGAGGAGGGAAGGAAGTTTACCTCTAAGGTGCGCTGTGATTGATAAATCGGAACACGTAAACTCATGGCTACCGGCGAGAACTGTCGTGGGGTCATCTGATGTCAACCGCATTCCGGTATTCAACTTCAGTGATTCAAAAATTACGATTGAAGAAGGAGAGCCTGTGGGCGTATTGGAAGAAGTGGCCTGGATAAGAAAATGCTCGGAGAATCTTGTGAAGAAGGACAGTACGGGAATAGACTTTGTAACGAAAATCTTAGACGAAAACAAAAGTCTGACAAAAGTGGAGACTATGAAAGCTAGAAATTTACTTCTTCGATTCTCTGATGTGTTTTCAAGAAGCGATGGTGATATTGGCCGAACTGGTTTGGTGAAGCATAAAATAAACACAGGTGATACAATGCCAATTCGTCAAAGGCCCAGACGCATACCATTCGCTCGTGAGAAAGAGGTTGAAGAAATGATTGACGATATGAGGAAAAATGACGTGATAGAGCCCTCTTCTAGCCCTTGGTGTTCACCTGTCGTGCTTGTCAAGAAGAAAGATGGTTCAACGAGGTTTTGCGTAGACTATCGACGATTGAATGATGTAACCAAGAAGGATAGCTACCCGTTACCAAGAATCGATGACACACTTGACACACTGAGTGGCATGAAATGGTTTTCAACGCTCGATCTGAAAAGCGGCTATTGGCAGGTGGATTTGGATCCCAAGGACAAGGAAAAGACCGCATTCTCAACTGGGAAGGGACTCTGGCAATTTAAGGTGATGCCATTTGGATTATGCAATGCACCGGCAACCTTTGAGCGTTTGATGGAACAGGTGCTGGCGGGACTGCTGGGCGAAACCTGCCTAGTTTACCTCGATGACATCATCATTGTTGGACGGGATTTTGACGATCATCTAAGGAAATTGGAAAAGGTACTCGATAAGCTGCGTGGAGCAAATTTAAAGTTGAGTCCAAAGAAATGCTCTTTCTTCAAGCGCGAAGTGAATTATCTAGGACATGTTATTTCTGAGAGAGGAATTGAGACTGATCCAGCCAAGACTGCCGCTGTTAAGGAATGGCCAACACCTAAAGACAAAACGCAAGTTCGGGCATTTCTTGGATTGTGCTCGTATTATCGGCGGTTTGTGAAAGGATTCTCGGACATTGCCAAGCCTTTGCATCGATTGACAGAGGAGAAACGTGCCTTTATCTGGGACGAGGATTGTGAGCAAGCCTTTCGAGAACTAAAAGAACGGCTTTGTAACACACCAATTCTCGGATACCCCAGCGCGAAAGGAATATTCGTAGTTGATACGGATGCCAGCAATATTGGAATAGGAGGTGTCCTTTCACAACGCGATGGTGAGCAGGAGAAGGTTATTGCTTACTTCAGCAAGTCACTATCCAAGCCGGAGAAGAATTATTGCGTGACCAGGAGGGAATTGCTGGCCGTAGTCAAAACTCTGCACCATTTCAAGAAGTATTTACTGGGACGGAAATTTTTGATCAGAACTGATCACGCTGCTTTGAAATGGCTGCTTCAGTTTAAGGATCCCGAAGGCCAAGTAGCCAGATGGTTGGAACAACTTCAGGAATTTGACTTTGAAATCGAACATCGCGGCGGAAGAATTCATGGCAACGCAGATGCATTATCGAGACGCCCATGCGTGGAAGATTGCAAGCATTGTGCCAAGAAGGAAACTGCTTTTCTTAAGGTGATAAGGACTGATACTGTTGACGAGGCATGGGGAGATGATGCGATGAAATTAGAACAGGAAAGAGATGCAGATATCAAACCAATACTGGAGTGGCTACGAAGTGGTAACAAGCCAAGTTGGAGTGACGTCGCCCAATATAGCGCGGTAACGAAAGGTTTATGGGCACAGTGGAAAAGCCTCACGCTGCATAACGGACTTCTGTGCAGGAAATGGGAATCAACAAACGGCAAGGACGAGCATTTGCAATTGGTGGTGCCTCGTTCAAAAATAAGGGATGTATTAAAAGCGTTCCATGATGGATCTTCTGGAGGACATTTGGGAATTAGGAGGACTTTGGTGAAGATCAAGGAGAGGTTTTATTGGTTGCATTGCAAATATGACGTCGAAGATTGGTGCCGGAAATGCACTAGTTGTGCAGCTGTCAAGGGTCCACAAACAAGAAGCAGAGGGGCGATGAGAATCTACAATGTTGGTATGCCTTGGGAGAGAATAGCCTTAGACATCGCTGGACCATTTCCAATCACTGATTCGGGCAATCGCTACGTTTTAGTGGTTATGGATTATTTTACAAAATGGCCGGAGGTCTTTGCCATACCGAATCAAGAGGCAGTAACTGTAGCCACGAAGTTGGTAAACGAGGTATTCACCCGATTCGGAGTGCCCTTGGAGATGCACAGTGATCAAGGACGGAACTTTGAATCCCAAGTTTTCCAGGAAACTTGTAAACTTTTGGGAATCCATAAGACTCGAACGACCCCTTATCATCCACAGTCAGATGGAATGGTCGAACGCTTCAACCAAACATTGGAGCGACACTTAGCAAAGGTGGTTGACAGCCATCAGAGAGATTGGGACACTTACATACCTCTCTTCTTGCTTGCCTATCGGACTGCTGTACATGAAAGTACCGCAAAGACGCCTGCATTTGCAAATTTTGGAAGGGAATTGAGATTACCGGCAGATCTTGTATCGG